TCTGTTATGCTTACGCTCTCAGGTAGGCGACCTATAGTGGTTCTAGAGCTGCTCGAACTACAAGAATTTGATCTAAAGAGGCGACTCATAATGCTCAAGTGTATGGGATTGGAAGAGTGAAGAAGAAGATAAATAGTGACTTCGAAATCTTGCTGTTTATCCTAAAAGAAACCTATCAGTGACCTCCCTAGCTCTCTGTCTCCTGCCCACCACTTCGTGCCTCACCTGGGACTTATCGTTTGGAAAAAGGTACAAATATGAATTTTCAAGCCCTGAATAAGAGTCCTAGAGATCAGACATTATTAATACAGAGTCGTACACCTGATGCTAATATAAGTATTCCCCATACTATTAAATGGTCTGAAATAAATTTACCCAGAGATTGGACATTAGTTACTGAATCCCAACCTGCGCTAATACAACGTAGCTTAAATAATTTAGATTACATACAGCAATATTTAGATGGTACTGTTAAAATTAATTTTGGAAATCAACCTAAGTCTAATGTACAATTACAGCAATTGCCTACACCAAGTCCTTCTAAGCGTCATGAGCCTGCTAGAAATTCATCTGCTTCGTCTTCCATTCAAGAAAGAGATTTAGAAATTGAACGCGCTCTTATAGACCTAAAGTTAGAATCCTTGAGAAAAAAGGCCCAAGTAAGTCATCCTTGTTATAATACTCCGCCTATAAATGAGCCTAAACCTGAGTCTCCCCCTATGTCCCCTACTCAATCTGATTTCTTAGCAAGTGAATTAGCTGCAGCCCATGCGTATGGTCTAGATAATCAGTTAAAAGTTCTTAAACGAATTGAGAAGTTTAAAATTGATTGGAAAGCCCTAGATAAGCATCTGCATGATCCCATTAACCAGCCTAGAAGAGATAGATATTAGAAGGACTCAACATAATCTGCATAATTGTATTGAAGCTTGGAAGGAAGGGATCTTAACTCATAGGGGTGAGGACCCCAACTCTTTTGACTCAGGACTTGATAAATGTACAAGGAGTGGTAAATTATTTTCTGGGGATCAACTTTATCTCGTATAGGCTTAATATCTACAGATTTTGTTTCATGAAGAATTTCTCTGTAAAATTTTAAGGACTTATAAGGACTATGGGGAAGGAAGTGAAAACCAGGAGGAAAATGATTTAAAGCGATGGCAGCAGGACTCATAGATGCAGTGATATGGGGCTCAAGAACAAATAAATTAGTAGTGCATTTAGATACATAAGGAGAAGACTTAGGCTGAAATGGAGAAGAAGATAGAGGGCTTGCATTTGGGGGCAAAGGATAAGGATCATAGCTGGATGTAAGTGCAGACTGGTAGTTGGGCCTTATCTGGCTCAGGGTAGATCCTAAAGGATTAAATCTATTATCTATAGGAATAGGGGACAGACCAGGATAAGGTGCAGGCTCAAGTTTAGGAAAAGAAGAGGAAGATGCAGACTCATGTTTAATAGGATATTGGCTCAAGGTTGCAGGGAGGATTCTGGGTAATTGGGGGCTCAGATTGTGCTGTTCTTTATGCTTATCTTTTTCTTTCATTTTTCTTCCTGCCATAATTGTCCTGTAAAAACTCTCTGGTAAGAAAATCAGGAATAGAATTCTCACTGCCTTTAATAAATTCAATATCAAAATCAAATATGCTCAAAAGTGCTTGCCATCGGGCAAAAATCTGTTTTGATGCAATGTTTTGAACATCTTTTTCAAGAACATGTTTAGCAGATTTGCAATCAACACGAACAAGAAATTTTTGATTTAATAGATCATCTTGAAATTTAGTAATGCATAATACAATAGCTAATATTTCTTTTTTAATAGTACTGTAATTATACTGCGACTTCGACCATGTACCAGAATAGAATCGAACAATTTGCTCAGAAGAAGTAGGAGTAATTTTTTGCTTAAGAATGCCACCATATCCTATATCAGAAGCATCAGTCTCAACAATTTTAAAAGAACTTGTAGTAGGAATGCCAAGACAAGGGAGTGTCTTAACATGACATTTAATCTGTTTAACAAGCTCAGTATGAATAGAAGACCAAGGAGGAGGATTAGTTTGTAATCTATCAAACAGGGGCTTACATTGTTTTCTCAGATTCTTATCAAAATCAGAAATATAATTGAGTGATCCTAAAAATCTCTGTAATTGATTCTTATCTATAATTTGATCAGGAAATTTATCTGCAAATTGTATGGATCTATCTATAGGCTGTATTTGTGATTGACTTATATTAAATCCAAGAAATCTAATATGCATTTGGAACAACTTAATCTTCTTAGCAGAAACAACTAATCCATTGGTTTTTATGACATGCAAGAATTTATATAAATGTTTCCAATGCTGCTCAATAGACTCAGAGAATATAAGAACATCATCAATATAAACAATAGCAAATTGGCTGTAGGAGTTAAAAAATTTCATTCATTATATTCTGAAATTCACTAGGAGCATTCTTTAGACCAAAAGGCATAACATTCCACTCATAATGACCAAAGGGAGTAACAAAAGCAGTTTTATAACGATCAGACTCAGTAATTTGGATTTGCCAAAATCCACTCTTCAAATCAAATTTAGAAAATATAATAGCTTTACTCAGGCGATTAATCAAATCTCTCTTATTAGGTATAGGGTATCTAATCCATTCAAGAACAGTATTAAGAGGCTTATAATTAATAACTAATCGAGGAGATCCTCGTTCTAACTCTGCATTCTTCTGTACATAAAAAGCAGAACAAGACCAGGGAGACTTACTACGTCTAATTATATTTTTCTGTAGTAAATCATTTATTTCATTTTTACAAAATTCTAACATTTCAGGACTCATTTGGATAGGACGAGCTTTAGTAGGTATATTTTTTTCGGAAAAATTCTGTATATAAGGCAAACTTACAATATGATTCTTTCTATGCCAAAAAGCAGTAGGTAAATCAGAACATACATCAGTAATCAATTTATTTTCAAAATCCTTAATCTGTTTTTGCATTGAAGGTGAACTTAGCTGAGACTCAATTCGCTTATTTTGAACTTCTTCCTGTAGGTGTTTAATTTGATTAGTTTTATCAAGAATCAAAGATGTTGTTAAAGATGTAATACTTCTTTGTGCAGTCTTTAACTCATGTAATTCAGATCGAGTAAGAAATTCAAACTTAACTTTTTCACCTAAAGGACAGGCAACAACTCCATCAAATTCAACTTGTAAAGGATATAAAAGACTTATAAAAGGTAAACCTAAGATTACTTTATCAGTTATATTTTTGACCAAAACAAACGAAGTTTTAAAGCACACTTTATTTTGGCAGATATGGGCTTTAGGAATCTCATAATTCAAGTGTAGCATTTTACCAGAAGCAGTACTTAAAGATTCAGTTGATTTTGTATAATATTTAGTAGGAACTAATCCTTCTTTTATGCAGTTCAAATCAGCACCAGAATCAAATAAGGCAATAGTGTCAAGCTCAAAATCTTTAATAATTATAGTAATTTTAGAATACCATTTTCTAAAAGGAATATGATTAATTAAACTAATAGTTTGTTCATTTTCATCAGAATGGGTAGGGCTATTTGGCTGACTATCAGACTTAACTAAATCTTTTAGAAAATTCAAACTTTGTCGGATATCAAAATTCTCAGCTTGTAATTTATGACTTAATTGTCGTAATTCAACTATTTCTTTTTTCACAGCCTT